AAAAAAAGGAGCTCGTATAGTATAGTAAAATAAATCAATACATACAAAATTTTAGTATGGATTACAAAGGTTAACTGTTTTTGCTGGGAAAACGAGTACTAAACATTGCCTTCCTACTACGTAAGCAGACACAAAGCATTATGGGAAATCAGAACCGTGACCAAGAGCAACAGTCAGCAGGATGTATACCTTCACAATAAGAGTGTTTGTCTGGGAGGGGTGCTGTTGGATAGATCACGTTTGTTGTGATTCATTGACAGCCATACCTTCCGCTGTTGAAGATAATGTTGACTGGCAGATAATTAGTTTTTAACAGTACTTCATTTTAATTTTAGAAAGCGCAAATCCGCTCATGAGTTATAAAAATTAGTTAGACCGCTAAAGCGCAGACGAAATATTTAGCTCCGCAATTAGCTGACTGGCACTTTAGCGGACTGGTGCCCACCACTGCCAATCACACATTACCATCATAGCGGGAGGTGGGTAAAAGGTTCTGCAGGCGGGTTGCGTCAAAAGGGGCAGCCGAGTCGACTCTGAGATCACCGACAATAAGTGCCAACTTCGGCAGTTCGGAGGGAGTGTGAATTTGGTTTTTGTCCCCTTTGGTTTGACATTGTAATGGAGCCTCTGTCCATTGCCTTACAGTCTCATCCCAATACCTTCGTTACTCCTGTCTGAGCAGTCACGTTCTATMCCCACTAACAATAGTCACCCATAAAATGAAATTAAAACTTTTCTTAGAAAACTTGTAATCACTCTAAGTTGTTCAATTAATCAATTTATATTTAGTTGTAGTAAGTGTTTGGAAGAAAATATTAGATGAAAAACCTTTTTAATAGTTCAACAAAAACAGACATTAATTTCAAAGCACTTTATACCTGAGAGCAGCAAGTAATCCTGGTAAGTAACAGCTGCAGGAACTCTTGGCTGGCAGTGTCTGACRGCTTCAGATATGGCTCTGTGTGGAGACAACAGAGTTAAGCTCAAACATTASAAACATCTAAACATTAAGATAATATACTAACCTGATGTGTGATGGAGTGGTACCACAACATCCTCCCACAATGTTCACCAGCCCATCCATGACAAACTCCTGCAAAGKTATGAGATGGCAATCTGAGAGGAGAGCAGCGCTGAAGCAGCCAGTGCTGGATCATGACAAAAAATATTTTAAATACTTCCAACATTGGCAAGATTGGTCATCTCTCCCCAACACTGCCAAACACACCCACCATGGTCATCATTTTAACAAACCGTTGGAATCCCTGTCTTGAAGAGTAGTCAAAAATTATTTTTGTCACRTCTATTTATGCTTCCTGTAGGCGCACCTCCTGTCCCAGCTTCAGTAAACATCTCATCTCAACTGAGCATCATACCTGGGAATGTCACCCTGTTATACAGTCTCTCTCCACTTTAACACAAGTTATTCTTCTTCCATGGGAGGACATGTCAAAGGTGGGACCTCTGTTCTTCTCTGTTCTGGATATACACTCACCGGCCACTTTATTAGGTACACCACGCTAGTAACGGTTTTGTGGTCATAAAGGGATGGACATGGTC